CCCAGGTCCTGATGGTTTCACTGCTGAATTCTACAAGACATTTAGAGAGGATCTACTGCCAATACTCTAAACTCTTCAATGAAATTGAAAGGGAAGCAATACTCCTGAATTCATTTCTAGAAGCAAGCATCACCTTGATCCCCAAAGCGGAGAAAGACCCAACCGAAAAAGAGAACTATAGGCCAATCTTACTAATGAACATAGATGCAAAAATCCTTAATAAGATACTGGAGGACGATGAAGAAGATCATACACCCTGACCAAGTAGGATTCATCCCAAGGGTGCAGGGATGGTTCAACATACACAAATTAATAAATGTAATAATACACTATATTAATAGAGCCAAGGACATCATGTCAAGACTTTAGAGACTGATACCACTGTAGCTGGAATGATCTGAGAACAAGGTGAACTTAATCTATAAAATTTCCAATGTCATACTGTTTGTTGATTATTCATTTGTTCAACGCATGCTCATTAAACAACTCCTATATTACCTAGCATATATTTATTGAATATGTACTATGTGCTAGACATACTGTAGGGTACTAGAAATTTAGCAGTAAACAAAATCCCCCATCTCTTGGAGCTTATATTCTAATGGGGTAAGAATATACCAGATAGTATGTGTAGCACTGTAAAAAAACAGATGACTAAAATACTTGTTATTGTCAAGGAACTTACAGTCTGAGATAATGTAGGATTTTTATTGTTGTTACTTTAAAAGCATTCATTTCTTGTTGGAAACTTTTCCCCCATTAAAGAATAAATGACCTTAAGTGGTTTATACTTATATGTGATATATTCAGATGTTTTTTCTTATTTCGTCCTAATAAGAAACATGTCCCATTTTATAATGAGAATTAAAGAAGAAATAAGAATCACTTGTTATAGTTTCTTCCATATGTTTTATCAAAAATCATATTTTTTGAATAGCAGGTATACTTGATATGGTAGTTAAGGCCTAGATTTACATTTATCTGGAAATATCTGGAGAAAGTATTGATAAGAAGGTGAAAAACTGTTATGGGCTAGATAATTGGTTAAAGTTGACTGAAACCCTGTCACTCTCCTCACACTTGTACCGAAGCAGCAGCAGCAGCAGTAATATAATGAAACTATGAAGTGATTTACCTTAATTAGCACAGCAATTTGCCTCACATTTTCAAAAAGTGCTAATAGATGTTAACTCAAAATAGATTAAAATACCAAATTGCTACTACCTTAAAAAGAGTTATAATAATTTTTAAAATGTAAATTTTGACTATACAGTCTTTGGAGGAAACTATAAAACCCAACCTTTCTTATATTTTTGAAAAACCTATGGCACATGCTTCTTTCCCCTTTAATCACAGTAATTTCTTTAAATGACAGCATTGGGTATTTCCTTAGGAAGATACATTGCATTTTTCAAATCTTATGTGTAATACAGGAGTTACCATTGATAGTTTTCATCAAGAAATGAAATACAAAATCCAGGGATTGTGGGGGAAAATTTTTATGTTTCATTTTTATATTACATATATTTTATGAGTTGGAACAGAGAATAGTTCTTTTTATTTTAGAACCTGAAGATGAGCATAACAAAATGTCTGTAGAAATATGTATGTAGGCATAACAGTTTAAAATGATTTGGACTCTCCTGGTGTCTTACACTGAACTCCACAGCACCAACACACTTAAGGAGTCTCTACGAAGAGGAGGTGAGCATAATTTTACTTCTGAGGAGTAAAACAAACATAATAAAAACTTAATGTTTATATTAAATTCATCATGCTAAATCACCAGGCTAGATTATAAGTAAAAGATAGAAACTTCCCTAGTGTGCATATATACTTTTGCTGAATAATTTCTACCAACAAAGAACTAAAAGAAAATATATGCATTTTCCTCTTGGCTTTGTTTTTTAGAATTTGCAGAGCACAGATTACAAAAGGGTTGCCTAGAAGACACATTTATCCACAGAGGATTACTGGTGCCATTTTTCACACAGCTACACAAAACTAACTTGTTATCTATTCTTACTCATAACTTATGAAAGCCAGAGAATTAGCATAGTGCTATCTCTGTTCTCAACCACAAGTGTACCTTATTTTATGCAACAGATACAAATTGAATTTTGGTATATCAAAGGATATATAAAGTACATTAGGTGAGCTGATAGAATACATTAACTCTGTACCATGAAAGTCTTTACTTAAGTGAAAAAATGTCCTCTAATTTATAGACTTCAAAAATTTATATCTTAGGGGCTGGGGATTCAGCTCAGTGGTTCGGTGGCCTGCCTTGCAAGCGCAGGGACCCAAGTTCAATCCTCAGTACCAAAAAAAAAAAAAATTTTTTTTTATATCTTCATGTATGAGGTTTGCTTGAGGTAGACTTATATGCCCTTTTCTGGAAAACAGTTATTACAGAGAGATATTTTCTATTTTTTAAAAATTGTCTCTCCAAAACAAATTGCCTGTCAACCCTAAGTACAAAACTGTGTATGGAAGACCCAGGTGTAGATTAGAAAAGATGTACCATAGAAAAGAATCCCTCTCTTGATGGTGAGTGTAAATGTTTTCTCTTCTCCTGTTTGTTTTTAGTTAGTAGTTCCTTGAATGTGAGGTGATTTGGATCACACAGATTTCCTTTGTAGTACCTCACAGACATTCCAAGCATTCTCTCTGACCAAATGACTTCTGCTCTCCTTTGGTGAAAGCTGCATTTTTCTGGATATGTTTATGGCAGGAGGGAGAAAGGTGACCTAACAGCAGTGTGAGAAACATCATTTAAAGGAAAGGGAGAATTTTCTGACAGTGAATATTTTAAATCTGAACTATGTTATTAAGAAAAGTTCTGGCATTTCCTCTAGAGAGCATTAAAAAAGAATACGTTATTTTTATATATGAAATATGTTCTACAGATTACTTCTTGCCCTGTGGTTATTTTGTTTTGAACATTACAACCAATGCTATCAAGGTTTATTTCTGAGATATCTCAGATGTAGAATAATATTGATTACAGTCTAACATATCATTAATTAACTCTTGCATTCAGTAACCATTTATTGAGTGTCTACCACAAGAAGATCTACCATTTAGGGGCTTTATTATGTCACTCAGTGCTAGACGTGTTATTACATTTCATCCTTATAAAAATCCTGTGACATAAATACTTTTACCCTGCTTTTACAGTTGAAGAAATAAAATCTCAAACAAGTGAAAGCAGGATTCAGACAAGCAAGTTTTGAATAGAGAAATATCCTAAGAAAGATTAAGTATCATCAGGATAATGTTATCAGTACTAAAAAAATTAATTTGGACCATATTTTTCCAGCTCACCCAGAAGGCACCATGTTGTTTCAGAAATACACAGACAACCAACTTTCATGATCATCATACTTCTAAGTAGGCTTTCAAAGCAAACAACAAGGATTTTGTGTTGTTTTAGGTTTTTCCTGGTGTTCTCAGTTTTTTCAGTAGTGAACATCAAAAGGGATGCTTGCAAGTGTGCATTCCAAGTATCTTCCTTAAGACTTTCATAGTATAGCTTACTCGGTATAAATGAAATATTGATGTATTTGAAAATGCCCAAGTGTTCAATAAAGATTTTAAATAAACCTACCTAAAAGTTGTGGTTCTCAGGTTAATCATTTATTTATCTAAAGGATGAAGGAAGCTGTCTACTTCTGTGATATGAACTGCAATCAGCTTAAAAATAATTGACAAATTAATCCCTTCACAGCACAGCAATTGTAAAGGTGTTAGTTTTAATTAGGCCTGTCTGATTGCCTTGTCTAATCAAGAATCAAGGTGGTGTCTTTGATGGTTAAGGTCTATTGGGGCCATCCCTGACCTGCCAGCCATGTATGTTTTAATTATTGATTCCTCACATTTCAGCCCTTTTCACAAAGGGACTTGAAGTTTGCAGTGCCTTAACATTTAAAGGGAAGAAAAATAAACATTTTTCTAGCACCTCTATCTAGAATCTTGTGTATCCTTTTCCCCATTATACAGTATTTCTCCTAAAAAGACAATCATGTTGATGAAGAATTAAAATCCACATTGGAATTTATCCTTACTATTTCTTCACATTTCAAGCACTAGAAGTTCAATGGACATTATTCATATCTTGACAAATCACAGTCATATGTTTCTATGCTTACTCGGTATAAATGAAATATTGATGTATTTGAAAATGCCCAAGTGTTCAATAAAGATTTTAAATAAACCTACCTAAAAGTTGTGGTTCTCAGGTTAATCATTTATTTATCTAAAGGATGAAGGAAGCTGTCTACTTCTGTGATATGAACTGCAATCAGCTTAAAAATAATTGACAAATTAATCCCTTCACAGCACAGCAATTGTAAAGGTGTTAGTTTTAATTAGGCCTGTCTGATTGCCTTGTCTAATCAAGAATCAAGGTGGTGTCTTTGATGGTTAAGGTCTATTGGGGCCATCCCTGACCTGCCAGCCATGTATGTTTTAATTATTGATTCCTCACATTTCAGCCCTTTTCACAAAGGGACTTGAAGTTTGCAGTGCCTTAACATTTAAAGGGAAGAAAAATAAACATTTTTCTAGCACCTCTATCTAGAATCTTGTGTATCCTTTTCCCCATTATACAGTATTTCTCCTAAAAAGACAATCATGTTGATGAAGAATTAAAATCCACATTGGAATTTATCCTTACTATTTCTTCACATTTCAAGCACTAGAAGTTCAATGGACATTATTCATATTGTGACAAATCACAGTCATTTATGTTTCTAAAAAACACATTTGATTTCTTGAGATCATGTCTTTTAAAAAAATCCATATGGGCAAATGTGATTCTGAGAAATCAGAAATATCAAAAAGGTGACTGGTCTTCTTATAAAACACTCAGGCTGCTAAGCAGAAAAGCATTGGGCTGCAGGTGTCATCGGAAGCAGGCACAGCATGCTGGCAAGGCTTGGCAGCTTCATGGGGCTGGTGGTCGCCTGTGCATGATGGTGGTTCTTCTCTGGTTACAGGTCAATGAAGTGACCGTGGAACAGCTGGTGCAGCAGTACCCCCACATCACCTTCAGCACTGTCCTGCAGGACTGCAAGAGGACCTTGGAGAGAGCCTATCAAATGGGCTGGACCCCCAACATGTCTGCCACCTCCTCCTAATGTGCATGCCCACACGTGGGTACACTCGGATCCTTCAGCAGGACAGAGAAGTGTAGATTTGGAATGGGTGATCTCTTGGGAAGGTTTAACTGTCACCTGTCTGTGTGTGTACCAGAGTGTGTATATTTGTGTCTTGTTTTCCTACTGCATAGCATAAGCGCACTTGTTATTTGTTCCCAGGTAAGCTAACTTTGTTTTTTTAAAAATTGAAGATTATGAAAGCCACACAAAGTTAGTTTTTAAGTTTAAAGGCTTATTTCTTTAAACAGCAAATTTTAACAGTAAAGGAATTGGATTATTTTGGGCTTCTGCCATTTTTTAAATGCCCAGAAAAGAAGTCTTTCTTTTTTGATGGAATAGAATTGTACACTTCAGCAGGTCAGCCCAGAAGTGATGGGGAACTAATTAGAAGCCTGCAGATTAACGATCTTCAAAATTTCAAGCACATATGTACACACATAGTTATTTATACTCTATGTACCCACACCTGTGGGTGCCCAAACCCACCAGGGTGGTTTCTTCATAAACCATTCCTGGCAGAGGGACTTCCTCCAGGCTACAGAGGAAGCATGTCACCCACTGTGGTGCCCCTAACTCAGTGTGTCCACAGGTGTGCAGCTTTCTGTCTGGTGGGTGACTTAGGGACTAGAAAGAACAAAGCCTTTTGTAAATTTTATATATGGAGGAAACAATCTGAACTCCCAGCTTACAAAAATTAATTATTCATTATTCTACACATTCATTCGTTGAGTGCTAAATATTTTAGTTGGTTTTACATTAACATTGTGTTAGCTTTTATTTTGTGGATAAAAAGGGATTGGGATATATCTTAGTGATATTTGCAGCTAATCTTAGCATTATCCACAATGAAGCCACCAATGTAATTAATGGTTTGTCGTCATTTTTTTTTAATCAATAGATCATTTCATTACTTTGTTAATTTTGAAAACTATGAAAGCATATTTCTGAAATTTGGAGTAGTCTCATTAGTAGACAGTTCATGAGTGAAATATAAGTAGACAATCTATTTAAAATTTTTTCTTTTGCTTTGCTTTAGGTTTTAGAACAGGTTTTTGAATATATGCATGTTATCGGTTTTTTTTAATAGTTCTTATGCTAATGCAAGGATCTATTGCTAGCTACTGTATGAGTTAAGAAGAAAAATTAGAAAATCTGTTCATTACGATTCTGTTTACACTTGCCAGAAATAAGTATTTTGTTTAATTGAAGATTGCCAGCTTTTGGTTAAGACAGTATCTATCAGTAAATGAATATACATTTGATTTCACACATCTTTACAATTAATTCATTGTAGGGACTCAGGCTCCAGTAAACTTTCCTGTGTCTAGATTTATAATCAAGACTGCAAGGAGCCTTTTTAAGCTAAAAAGTGATAATCTTTCATAGTAGAACTCAAAACCCTGATTTGTGAATTTGCTGTTTATTCCTCCATGATATGGTCATAACTGTTATTTTGTCTTTAACAGATATACTGAAGTTTGAGTTCATTTCCTGTAATTTCAGATATTGTTAAAATGATACTAGCTATAAGAAACAAAAGATAGCCTTACATATGATGTCATTCATGTATTTTTAGTGACTTCTTTTTTGTAAACAACTGTTTCTTTTGATTATGTCAACATATTTCTATTGTGGTAATTTTTGTTTTAATTTCAATCAGTTCAGAAAATATAGTCAGTAAACACTAAGAATATTTTCCCTTAGCTAAATAGATTACTAATTTAATTTGAAGGGAGTAAAATTTGTGTGAGAAAAGGCTGTTTACCTATTTCTTCTTACACAGTGAACTGTGTCATTTTTGTATCCATTTCACTACCACTGAAAAATCTTCTTTCACAACATTTAATTGATTTTTAACCCAAAACTAATTTATAGGACAGTATGTATAATAATAGTAGCTTCAGTGAATAAAAAATGTTTAATTTTATATATGTCATACTATATTTTAAATAATTTTAAAAGGGACAAAAGAAGGGAAAACAATCTATGTTATAGATGGTATAATTTCAGTTCAAAGTTGTAATAATCTTTGAAGTGTTATAGTTTGGTTGTCAAATGGTTTCAGAGTATATAATTGATTTTTTAAATTGTCTGATTGTTTTAAAGTACAGCACTAAAACATGCTTTAGCTTGGGGCTGGGGTGGGGTGGGGACTGCACTTATTCTCTAAAATGTCAGCTAATCCAGAAAGCCTGATGCAACATAACCTGGAAAACTGCTTTGGTACATTTGTAGAAATCTGTAGAAATACCATATCTAGCCTCAAAGCATTAATCTCAAAAAACAGTCAGGAAAAGCATCACTCTGAGTGATTCTGTGATGGTTGTTGAATGTGTTCTCATTAGATGCTTTAAAATGAGGCTTGAAATAATTTTTCTACGCAATATAGTTCCTTTTTCTTTCCTTCTTTATGTTTGTTTGCTTAGAGTGTCATAAATACATGTGAACATGTTTAATGCAGGGCTTTTTATCCTCTTCAAAATGTCAACAGTATTTTCAGAATAAAACCTATGAAATACATTGCTGTAATGGAAAACTCTGGTCCTTTGTCTTCAGTGTCTTTTTGAGTGGATAAAGAAAATCACCCAGTTTGTAGTTTCTATATTTCTGTGAATCTTTTGACCTTGCAATGGGTTGCAATAAAAGAGAAACAAAACACTGTATCTTTTGTTTTATTTTAGAAACAATAAATGGCCTCTCCTTGTTGGCTGATACATTCAGTAGTCTGTGTCCTTGTGTGTTTTACTACAAACATATAGGTTTGACTAAGGCAGATTAATAAACAAGATTGCATTTAGGAGGGGCTAATTTTGGCCAATGATTACTGAGATAAGATTAAAATCTCAAGGGTTTCAACAAGTGAATTGTTTAAAATCCCACTCCCTAAATAGTTGGTTTGCTTAGCTATTTATTCAATTTTTTAAAAGCAAATAAAACATTCATCAAATAGCAAACATGTGTCAGGCACTGGGGAGTTGAAGATAAATGAAACTCATTCCCACCCTCAAGTTGCTCACAGCATACCAAGGAGACACTCTGGGAAACCAGCAACGCATGGAGCATGGTCCATGTAATAATGTACATAATAATGGGCAGCACACCAAGAAGTTTTCAATGCCAGGTGAAGGAGCTAAACTTCACCAAACTTCTGCTGGCAAGGAAGGGAGGGAAATGTTAAAAATGATAACAGCAAGGCAGGTTCAGAGTGGGAAGTAGATGGGAAAAGTCCCTAGGTGCCTAGGGAGAGCAAAGATTAATCATAACTTTTCATGAACTTGTAAGAAAGATCAGATGTGCTAGAAAAGTCTATAAATTCTTTCAACCAGTCAGAATTCAAATGCAGGACTTCTATTTCTGGTAATATGGAACCAAATCCTGGAAGATTTCTCTGCTGTTCCATGTCTAAAAGTGTGGAATAAAATATTTTTAATCCATATGAAATACCTGGATGCCATAGTGAGAAACCTCTGGTGACCAGGAACAGTGGGCGCAGCAGTCTAGAAAAAGGATCAGCAAGGGGCTGGGCCAAACACAGCCAATGCCTATTTTTGTAAAGCTTGATTGAAACATAATCACACCAATTTGTTTATATAGTCTCTGTGGCTGCTTTCATTCTGCAAAAGCAGAGTAGAGTGATTGTCATAAAGAATATTTACCAACTGGCCTTTGATAGTCGATTTGCCATTTTCTGAAGGAGTCATTTTCAAAGTGAGCTCTGTCACAATCACCTAGGAACTTGTTAGAAATACAATTCCTGGGTCTCACCCAAGACTACTAAATCAGTAACTCAAGGTGTAAGGCCTAGCCATCTGTTTTAGCAGGTCTTCCAGGTAAATTTGGTACATATGGCAAACTTTTATATTTCTAGAGAGATACCTGTGAAAACACTCAGAATCTGATAGACTATATTGACACTGTAATCTGGAGACTGAATAGGAAACTTGGTCAATAACTAACTGGAAGTCAGAGTCAAGACTACTTCATATAAAGCCTGGGTCCCTGAAAGGCTATACCTTTCCTAAAACACTGAACTAAACTGAAACAAAAATTGGAGGACAGATATTTAAGAAAAATCGCCATTCTCAGCCTTGGCTATTAGTGGGTTTTTAAAAGGCTCTCTTAAAAATTAATAGCCACCGGGTATATTCACATGGGTATAGTAACTTAGTTTACACTATTTGCATAGTGTTTCTGATAATTGTATTTTTAAGAGGATTCATGTCAGTAGTGCTTAATGCCCAAAGAAAGCAAACAAAAATCATCCCTGGAGAAAGGTAGCCATAATCCAGGCTTCAAAAGAGAGTCCACAAGGAGAGTGGCAGCAAATATAAATTCACAATCTAAACCTACAGAGAACACCCAGGAATAATACAGCATTTACTGTAGTGTAAATCAGCAAAAACAATATACTCACATCTTCAAAGGCTTTAACACTAAATTTTCAGATACATAATACAAAGTAAATGCTTGATATAAAAATTATTTAATATGTATAAGGAAAAAAGAAACTACCAAAAAGTGAACAGATACATTTAAAGGAGCTAAATAAAATTTTTAGAAATGAAAAATACAAGGACCAAAGATTTGCCCAGTGGTTCCAGTGCCTGCCTTGTGAGGTCAAAGACCGGAGTTCAATCCCCAGTACCGGGAGAAAAAAAAAAAGAAGGGAACAAAAATGAAAAATACAATAAATGAAAAGTAAAATGGAAAACTTGAGTAACAGAGATGCAGCAAGAAGAATAACAGATAAACCTGAGTAAAGTTGAAAAGAACAAGAAGTCTTTCTGGATAAACAATTTCTGTATGGATGAGAAAAGTTGAGACAAGGTATAGCATTAAACTTTCAAACATCCTTGCAGAAGGAAAAATACAGTAGGGGAAAGGCAGTAAAGAGATGATGGAGTTTCCATTTGTGAAGAAGACAAACAGGATTTGGAGGAGAGTATTAGAAGTCCAGCTTGGAGTAAGTTAATTTGAGGTGTCCACTAGATATCCATGTGGTTTGAGTATGTGTTTGGAACAGGAGTTAAGTTCAGAGGAGAGAGAGAGAAATGATGTATTGATGACATTCAAATCATGAACCTTTCTAAAATCCTTACTCCTGATCATCATCCATTAGTTTGAATAGAAAGAGAAGAGGTATAAGTAGAGTGCCCAAAGGCACTCTAATTAGGGAATTAGGAAATCAGAGAATTGAAGAAAACTCTTCAGAGGGCTGGGGATATAGCCTTGCAAGTTCAAGGTCCTGAGTTTGATCCCTGGTACAAAAAAAAAGTCCACAGAAAAATCATCAGAGGAAACCAAAAAGGACAA